TATATATATGCCCTCCCCATGTGTATAGCTAATCCTGTAACTGTACCTAACAAAAAGGTACACTCTCAACTCCTGAACAGGTAGACATGGAGTAGAATCCCTTCAGTGCTGCAGGAGATATTCATAACACACCTTGTCATATTCAAGGCACTTAGGAGTATGAATGGCCAATATGTCACTACACAACTTATTAAACAGAGCTACTCCAGCACACACACACATATCTTGAGTAGATTACTTTTATCTATTTGTCAATCACAATTGGAAAGATCAAGCATGAGTCTTCAAAGGAACAATGAAACTATCTGAAGGATGGCATGAATTTTTACAAGTATAACTCCAAATCTTTTACTGCTCCTTTAGTGTTTAAGCTATAGAAAATAAAAAGCAACATTAATAAAAATATTCCTAAACCACAAATTTTGGTTTAAACAGTTGATTTCTTCTTTACAAAATATGTCTTTATTTTACAGAATTACAAAACAGTTTAAAATTTGTACTGCTTGATCACTTCACAGAGACACAAAATATACCCTCTGACTGAACAGTCACCAGGAGATTTAAAAATTTTTTTTTACTGTGGCCCCTCACAGTAACAAGTACCTTTTTTCCAGTTTTACACACAATTCTCCTAAAGCTCTCCAAAAGTATTTTTGTATTTTCTTAGGCATGAAACTTATAAATCTTTTAAGTTTTCATGATGATTAACTGAGAACTGTTACTTTCTTGTTTATTGTGTATAGTCTCAGTGTTATTTTTGATACAAACAACACATTAAAGCTTATCATAGTTGTCTAAAACAGACTATTGATCAGAGAAGGTTTATGAGTTTAATAGTCAAAAAGGAAATTAAAGTGCACACCTCCAGAAACTGGTTACACTAATTCATGGTGCAATCACCATGTGTTACATGGCAGTAGAAGATTTAATTACCTAGTAAAATACAAAATCTGAAAAGCATTCAGTTTATGGGAATGCACATACCTATCTTACCTATCTGTATTTTGCTTCAGCAAACGTGGCATTCTGGTCACGATGCTGAGGTACCATGATGTAGTGTCTGCAGTACAAAACTACTGAACATCAAACGAATCAGGTCAGTGCTCAATGTCTTTTGGACAACAAAGCCAAAGCTGTGGAGATGCAGTAACCTCAATGTCTCCTTGCTTAGTGTTTGTCTCTCACAACCCTCAGTAATGATGCCACTGCTCTTGAAAAGCTCTGAGCATCCCAGCACACCCATCCACAGCCAGCTGGTTTTGCAGGTGTGTAGATAACAAACATCATCAGTGCAACCTCAGGTCTCTCTTTCTTGTTAGTGTTCTTAGAAGTCAACAGTGGAAGGTCTCCATCTCCCATCAAACAGTACAGACCCAGAATACCAGTGAACTGCAGAAACATCCAACAAGTTTTCTTTCTTGAAAATAAGGCCTTTTTACCATGTAGTAAATTCTGTATGGCAAATACAGAGTATACTGTAAACAGCACTGGGATAAGACTCCTTCAGCATTACGTCATACATTTCAAGACAAGGAAAACACCATTAGGTCAATTAAAGGACCATTCTAGCACTCTGTAGGATGCTGGCAGCAGAAGTTAATACAAATTAATAACCTGAAGTTCTTTGTCTGCTCTGTATTCTGGCAGGGAACCAAGTTAGACCTTGTCCTTCTGCCCAAAGTACAAGATATCCTTCATATATTTTTTTCCGCTGAATGACCACCCAAGGGCAGCCTTGAAGGAGTCCCTGGTAGGAGGTGCCCCAGACCCTTGCTGAGTAGGAAATGGATATCACAAAACAAGCTTTTGTAATGAGAGGAGAAAAAACAGTCACCATGTAAACCTAAGGACTATTGAGCACTTTAAGATCTGAGCCTACAGATGTCACATTTGCTCAACATCTTCCAATGTCACATTATCAAACCAAAGGTTGCCTGCTAAGTAAGAGAACTATTTTGGTTTAGAAGAAGCTTCACTAAGCAGCTGATTATGCAAGCTTTTGTTTGCATTTCCAGGAAGGCAAGAGAAGGCTGCACTTGGCAAAAGTGAAATCTGTTAATATATAGTGTTTTCCTTCAGCTGATAGCTAGAGAAGCACTTATATATATTGTCTTTTTTTAAAATAGTGGTTGATTAAAGAAGATTTGTTCATAATTATACTAGAAAAATACAGTTACTCAGGTAGAAAAAAATACAAAACGCACATAACCCATTCACATTATCTACAGTTGATAACATAGGAACATGTTCTATGCCTAAAGCAGCTAACATCACAACTGCATACTGACTTTCAACATTGGTTGTGTGCATATGTTCGCAAATATCTTACATGTTGCTTCCCAGATAAAAGCCTGGGAAGTATTTCCCAGATGTCAAATTGCCAATCTTGTGCCCTAATATGGTCAGGCAGGTGACTGTCTGATATTTGGACACAGAATACAGGCATGGTAAAAACATCTGCACATTCCTCAGTTTGAAAATTCACACCTATTGCTCTGTGGCTGGCAAGATTTGTATTTTCAAACTCGCAGCCAGAAAAACAATACATATCAGTGCTGTATCAGTATGAAACAAAACATGGCTTTTTTTTTTTTTTCTTCATTTTTTCCTTATTTTAAATCAAGTCCTCTGTGATTGCAGAATGTCATCCTTATCTCTTCTAACCCCTACAATACTTGTATTCTTCATATTCTGGATAAATTAATCCTATTTGCATACTCCAAAGGGATTAAAGCTCCTCTGCTCCACACATCAGAAGGAACCCCTTAAATGGCAGGAAGGGTGCGTCTCTGTTGTGCTGTTAACTCAGGGTGCCACACATCCACAATGAATATCAGGCGAGAATTCTCAGCATCCTGCCATACTTCATGTTCAAAAGAGTCATCGAAAATAAGAACTTTCCCTTCTTCCCAGGTTCTGCAACACAAAAGAAGCATGCTTTACAGTAATTAATATTTGAAGTACCTTGGAGCAGGCAAGCTAAGTATCAGCTCTGAAGATTCCCTTTTACGTATATACGAGAATTATTTAAACAATATATATTGCACAGTCAAGATCTCACTACCTAATATAAAGAGACTGGAATATCAGTTTTAACTGAAATAAACTACAGAAAGATCAGTCTAATGGACCTTCATATTACTGAGGGATTGTTTCCTCTCCTTCTGTGTAGTCACACCCACATGTGCCCAAATACACATTCAGACATTTGCAGTATTTGTTAAATGCTTTTAATGAGTCCCATAAGCAGGGAATATTCATCAGGCTCACACAATAGGCCACTCTACAATGACCACATAATCAAGTTTTTTAACAGGATCCTGAAGAAATCCAAGAGGATGAATGCCCTTAGAGGGAATTAGGAACTGTGAACAGTAGTGATAGTAAACAAACCAAGATCTTACCATCAAATATAGAAATACATTGCTTAGCTCATTCAACTGTGTTGATTCACAGAGAAAACAATTATCTTTTTTCAAAAACAGCTTGAAAATGATATTTAGACTCTCAAGTCATACTAGTTTTTCAATTTAACAAAAGCAAAAGTTAACTATCAAAATTTATGGGGTTGTGCTGTAACATCCTGGAGAGAAATGGAATTGAAACTGGATCATTTCAACTGAAATGATAATCTAAACTTATTTTAAGCAAGAGCAGATAAACCAGAAGACATAACATGGTAAAAAATTCACATTGGCTTGCACACAGGCTTTTGCAGGTTTCAGCTATGGTCATCAGTTTTTTCTGCTACCATGTCAGTTTTATGTCATACAGACCCTGAGACTCTGCCACTGCACTAAAGTCACTTTGGTTTTATTAAAGTCAATGGAAGTCAGCCACTTGAAATGCTATAACATGGTAAAAAAATCAGGTTAATTTTGTTGGGGTTTTTTTGGGGGGGAGGGGGTGTGTTAGGGGTTTCTTGTTAGGTTTTTTGGGACTGTTTTGTTTGTTTGGTTGTTGACTGGTTGGTTTGGTTAGGGTTTCTCAGGGAGTTTTTGTTTTTTTGGGTTTGTGGTTTTTGTTGTTGTTGTTTTTTAATTAAACTAAGCCTGGAAAGCTCTGCCCAGCTCAGTTAAGGACAATAAAAACTCCAAGTACTCAGAGGAAGTAACATCAGATGTTAAAGCCCAGGATCAACCATTTGCATAACAATAGGACGGGCTGTTTTGCAGAACAAAGAAAAAAATCAGAAAGTTGACAGAACTATTAGCCCCTTTTGAACTGATTACAAACCCCACCATTAGCATGCAAATAAATCTCTTCATGGTGTAAGAAACACTTGTCAGGGGGACCATAGGGACTATATTATTCAGGTCTGATGCTCAGCCACTTTGGGGTAGCTTCTACATGACCTGCAGGGCTCCAATGTCACCAGTTACAGGTGAGATCTTGGACTGGCTTCTGCATCAGACCGTAATTCTGCACCTTCACTTCAAAACACGATTACCTTGTCTGACAGAGGTGTTCGATTTTGATAACTAGATATTATTTACCTATCATTTTTGTGCATTGTACCCTACACTTTACAGAGCTGGGACTTCAAAATAGCCCAATGAGATAAAATTACTATAGCTGCACTGAATACCGATGAGGCGTACCAGCTCCTAGCAGCTGCAAAACCGTTTCTGCAAGCGAAGGAGTAAATCACAGTACTAGACAGAGCTGAGTTGCCTGCCCGCCAAAGGATGAGTTGCAGCACAACACTGCCCCCCTAAACACCCACACTGGGTGGTACATAGGTAACCCAGCACAAAACTCTCATTGTTTCTGCTCTCTCTGTCATACACTCAGTAGTGGGACAGAAGGCCAGAAAAGGCCTGACCTACGCTAACCTTCATATTTGAGCTGGTTCTCGTATTTGAAACCACTCATTTACCACTGCTCTGAACTGAACCACCAGGAGGGGAGAAATGGAAAATGCACAAGGTAGGATTTCCTACTGGCACCATTCCCTCCCACAGTGGTTCACCCACGTCCTCTTTCATGGGCGAAGAGGTGTAAAACAACCCCTTTCATTGCCAGCAGTAGACACACGTTCAATGCTTTCAGGGAAAATTCTGTCTTTGATTCTGAATGTATAGCTTTTGCCAAAAACAACTAAGGTTAACACATTCCAGCATAGGCTGTAGTCAGCTCTTGAATGTTTTACATTTCAAATGAATGAGTTAACACATGAGACTGAGCCAGGCTCAGGAGCCTGGACACTGATGTCCTCTGTCTGCAGCAGTAGCAGGCATTTCTCCACTCTTGAATGTGAGGGAGCCTTACTACCAAGGAAGTAGTTACGTTCACTGTCCACAGGACTATCCCTTCTGTTTGGGTTAAGACAAAGAAGTGTGCCAGCCGTAATAATGGGTGGACACCTGCACCCTTGGCAGCAGTTCAAAACCACCACTTCATTTACACAAGCTATTAAACAGTCACCTAATGGTAATGCCATTCAGTCACCACCAATCTGAATTCACTGTAACATCCTAAAGTGAAAAGACTCCACATCTCTATATTAGTCCTCTAAGCTGCCTCTCCCTCCCTCCAGCTTATTTTGGATATTAAATTGTTATGCTGGAAGCAAATGTCCATCACTAACTAGATGTAAGTGGTATAGATTGTAACACTGACTGTGACAGATGATTAAATAAGCTATGTGTTGGCAGGAGTCTATAGTGACACTATTTTTGGTTATTAACAGTTGGATACTTCTGTCCTCCAAAATTCTAAACATTTTTTGTTGTAGTTGTTCTTAAGTGTCATGAAAAAAATCAGGCAGACAGGTGTGGAATTTCATTTCTCAGTATCAAATACATCTGTACATTACTATCATGAAAAGAATTCAAAATTAATGCTTTTTGCACTCAGATACTGCAGACAAGACACAGAATCTTCAAAATGTATACATATAGATATTAAACATTAGAATTATACATCTCAGAAAATTAAGTCTGTAAACAAAAAGTAATATAGTTAATACTGCATTTTACTGTCTTTCTTTAATGACATCGTGCAAAAACTTATCACATTTTCTCATATTTGCAGGGGAGTATATGCCCTGATTGTAGATGTAAAAGCTATTGCATTTTGTTTTGTTGTTTGGTTTCTTTTTTCACCAAGCAAATAGAGACAAAACTTGTCTTCAAGTCAGTATAATTTTTCCCTAAGGGACAAGAATGCACTTTAAAGAAATTTGCTACCTCTGTAACTCATTGGGCCAAACACTTCATAGATGTGTTCATCTTCAAATTAACTTCAATTGAAATATTTTAAACTGAATTATAACAATTAATACCAGCTAGGAAGGAGCTTCCGCCAGATATACACTTGTCATGGTGGTGAAAACAGAGGTATAGCTTAGTCTCAGCTTTTGTGGAATAAGCAATGAATTCTAAGCTCCCTCTAAATCAGAAAAAATAGAGGAACTCTCTAAATATACATTGGACTGGCATTGTAAGAGTAAACACAGAGACCCCATGGACTAAACCCACTGATACTTCCATGCCATAGCAGAGAGAAGCAGCTTTGTCTCCAAAGATTCTTCTGGCATTGTTTGAAAACTGACATTTATATCTTTGTACCAAGAATAGGGTGTAAAATTGCCTGCTTAATGAAATATATTATGTCTCATGATCAGTAAAACATCCCTTTAAAAAAAAAAAATTACATGCAGTCCCACACCTTTTTCAGCCTTGAGGAAGGTGGAAAAAGTCCCCAAAACCAAACCATACCTGTTCTCTTGGGCACACCGAATTCTGCAGCCTTCCTTAGGTATCACCAAGCCCAAATGCATCCTTAGCCGACAATTGGTGGGCCCAGTGTGGGGCCAAACATGAGTCCCTGGGTGCATGATAGAATATTTGATCTGCAAGAAGAGAGAGACAGGCCTTCAACACCATCAGCTTCACAACCATACTGCTAGGAGGAGTTCAAGACTTCATTAATTCTCATCTTTGATGAACGGGCAAAAGTATAATGTCACCTTTTGTTAGAGCCTCAGCAACAATTGTGCTTTCTCACATCCTAGAGGTGTTCAATACTACAAAAAAGATATCTTGTGGTCATCCATGAAAGTGCATATTTTTCTTTCTTTTAATAACCCCACTATTCATATTTCAACATAAAAGTAATTATCTCCTATCTACAATAAGAAAAATACCATCTTTCCTATGGAAGGACTTACAGACACTCTTACCATTTAAAAGGACGGACCACAGGAGGCAAGTCCTGTGTTAGCCAGACTGACCAGGTGATGGCCCCTCTCGGATGACAACATGGTTATGAAGGCCACTGCCAGCCTTGACTGGAGTAACCATGAGATGGTGGAGTTCAGGATCATGAGAGGAGGGAGAATGGCAAAAAGCAGGATTACTACCTACAGCTTCAGGAGAGCTGACATGGGCTTATTCAGGGACCTGCTGGGAAAAATCCTATGAGATACAGTGCTGGAGAAAATAGGGATCTAAAACAGCTGGTTGATTTTTAAGGATCATCCAAGCTCAAGAATAGTTCATCCTCATATGCAGGAAGCATGGAGAGCTAGACAAAATTGAAACACAAAAAGGAAGCATACAAGAGGTGGAAGCAGGATCAGGTCACCCAGGAAGACTGTTGAGATATTCTCTGAGCATGCAGGAATGAAGTTAGGAAGGTCAAAGCTTTCCTGGTATTGAATCTGGAGACAGACATGAAGGTCAACAAGAAAGGTTTCTACCAATACATCAGCAGTAAAAGGAAGTCTAGGGAAAACATGGGCCTGCTGCTAAATGTGGCAGGAGATCTGATGACAAAGGATATGGAGAAGGCTGAGGCACTATATGCCTTCTTTGCCTCAGTCTTTACTGGTATGACTGTCCTTCAGGACTCCTAAGCACCTGAGACCAGAGGAAAAGACTGGAGCAAAGACGACTTATCCCCAGTGGAGAAGGATCAGGTTAGGGAACATTTAAACAAACACAACAAACTGGTCCATGGGTCCTGATGGGACCCACCCATGAGTGTTGAGGGAGCTGGACAATGTTGTGAATCCACATTCAGTAATCTCTGAAAGGTCATGGCAGCCAGCAGAAGTCCCTGAGGACTGGAAGAAAGCAAATGTTGTTCCTATCTTGAAGAAAGGCAAGGAGAACCTGAGCAACTACAGGCCAGTCAGCCCGATCTTGCACCCTGGTAAGCCGATGGAGCAAATAATCCTGGAAAACACTTCCAGACACATGAAGGAAAAGAAGGTGAATAGGAGCAGTCAGCATGGATATACAAGGGAGAAAATTTACTTAACCAGCTTTCTACAGTAAAATGTCTAGCTTGGTGGATAAGGATAGATTAGTGTATGTTGTTTATCTCAACTTCTGTGAGACTTTGAATCCTGTCTACAATAAACAATCTCATTGACAAACTGATGAAGTAGAAAGTAGGTAAACTGATAGTGAGGTAGATTGAAAACGGACAGTTCAGCCAAGCTCGAAGAGTTGTGATCAGAGACACAAAGTCCAGCTGGAGGCCACTCATCAGAGTTGTAACCCAGGGCCCAGTACTGAGTCCAACACTCTTAATTAGGTTCATAGATGACAGGACAAAGTGCATCCCCCTCAGAAAGTTTGCAGATGATAGGAAATTGGGGAGAAATGGCTGATACACTACATTTTTTTTTGCTACCATTCATAGGGACCTTGGCAGGCTGGAGAAAGGAGCAACCAGGAATCTCATTATGTTCAACAAAGAGAAGTGCAAAGTTCTGCACTGGTGAGAAATAACCCTATGTACCAATACAAGCTGGTGGACAACTATCTGGAAAACAGCTTCCCAGAAAATGACCTTAGAGTCCTCATAGACAACAATTTGAACACAAGCCAGCAGTGTGCCTTTGCAGAAAGGACAGCCAACAGCCTCCAGGGCTGCACTAAGGAGAGTGTAGCGGGTTGAGGGAGGTGATCCTTTCCCTCTACTCAGAGTTGGAGAGACACCTTGACTGCTCGGTCTAGTTCTGTGCTACCTACTATGAGACACAGACATACTGGAGCAAGTGTAGAGAAGGGCTACAAAGGTGATTAAGGGATTGGAGCATCTGAGATACAAGAGGAAGCTGAGAGAGCTGGGACTGCTCAGCTTGGAGGAAGGAAGGCTCAGGGGGGATCTTATCAATGTATATAAATACCTGATGGGAGAAGTGAAGAAGACGGAGGCAGGCTCTTCTCAACGGTATCCAGTGAAAGACAAAGAGGCAATGGACACAGATTGAAATACAGAAAATTCCATTTAAACATAAGAAAAAACTTTTTTACTGTAAGGGTGATTGAACACTGGAACAGGTCGCCCAGAGAGGCTGTAGAGTCTCTATCCTCAGAGGCATTCGAGACCTGACTGGACAGCTGCCTACTCTAGTTCATCATGCTTTGAGCAAGAGGTTGGACTAGGAAATCTCAAGAAGTCCATTCCCACCTCAGCTTTTCAGTGATTCTGCAATAACTCGAAGAACAGGAATTGTGAATAATGCATGGCAGTGGTGAGAAGCATCTTTTCAACCGAGAAATCTGCACATCAGGCTGGGTCAGGATAACTTTGATAAACCTTGGGGTTTAAGGCATTGCTTGCTCTCCAACTGTAACAAAGTCAGCATAAGGCAGTGTGTGTCTCATGCCTTTGCCGCTCCCATCATCTGAGGTTTCAGCTTACCAGCAGTTTCTTACAATAGCAAGCAATAAGCTCCAGTAGCCATGGTGAACACAGAAGCTTCAGCCCACCACCTCTGCTATACCAAGATGCGGTAACTTGATTGCCCTGTCAGACCCTAATGCAATGCAAATAACTAGCTAAGCAGTATAGCTACTAATATCACAGAGAAACTTTTTTTTAATGTTAATATACCAGCACTGAAGAATGATTACTCTCATGTATTTTATATGTCCATGAAGATTAGTATAGATATGTCTGTGAATTATATGTATGTGCTGTACTCAAGTACTATATATAAAGAATCATGAACTACCAAAGAGTTATACTATGATTGTAAAGTAAAACTCCAGAGTTAATAAATTCCCAAAGTTAAAACTACCAGTACTACTTTTAGTTTACTGCTTCTTTTAAAAATGATGTACTTTTCAATAATATGATAACATGCTATTGTTCTACACAGTCTCTCAGCAGGACTGAGCAGGTATTTGATTATTTTACATTTCTTCAATGTAAAAGGTGTCAATATACAAGGTGCCCAAAGCATCCAGACAGTCTATTTACCACAGAATTCCTAATTTCCTGATTGTGTTTATTCCCATTGTTTCAAATGAATAGAGGTTAGGTGATATTTTAAATTTAATTTACCAGTAAGAATATGAGGCATGGCTAGCATACAACCAAAACTGTCCTAGGCATTTCCTAATATTGGATGTAAAACTTAAGACTTCTAGAGCACCATTTTTCCAACTATTCTACACTTTTTACATTCAAAACACATGACTACAGCTATAGCTGTGAATACACAATGCTTTTTCAAACCATATCCTGGTGATGACATGTGGGCTGCCAAAAAATGATGAACAAAATAGTAGCTCTCAAAGAGAATTTGCTGAGATAGATCCATTTTGGCTATGGATGTCACAGAAAGCAGTTCTTTTGCTGTTAGCCACTTTGAGTGTCATGACCTCTCTCATCAGTTATATTCACTACAACGAGCTTTTGTAAAAAAAAAAAAAAAAAAAAAAATCATCAATGAAACAATAGTCCTGTTCACTCCTACAACAGTAGCCACTGAGGGCACTTCTTAACATCAAAAGCAAAGAGGCTGGTGAAAAAGCTGAACATCTACTCTCAAGACTCTGAATTAGGATTATGCTAGCACTGTGATTTCCAGCTTTCGTATCCTTAATTTTGCAACATGAAGGTTATTCTATCTATTCATTACAGGTGAAATATAGTAACTTAAAAAGAAAAGAAAAAGAAAAATGAAAAATTCTTTCCTACAGAATTGCATGATACGTGTGTTGGGCCATTCATTCAGCTGCATATGTATTGATTCATATCATGTAAGTCTACTGCATAATTTAATGAGATTAATTTGTAGCCAAGTAGTCAGTGTAGACCAGGCATGTGAACCAAACTTTGCTGGCACGCAAAGCCATAGCTCATGAATGCAAAATTTCCTTCCTTTACCATTGGAAAATAAGCATGTGACAGCAGTAGTGTTGTTTGCCTTTCATGAGGTGATTCTCCTCTGTCTAGCGCAGCCAGGCTGGGGTAGATAGGTGAAGTTTATCACAGTGAGAATCTGGCTCTCTGAATTAGTCTTGTAAAGGTCGGTTCAGACCAGAAAACAAATTCAGGTTAGAAAGAAGCTAATCCAACCCCTTGCTCAAAGCAGAGTGAGTCAAACCAGGTCACTTGGGCTGAGGTTTAGTAAATTATTGCTTATTGGTTGACCTGTGTCAAGTAACTCCCTACCTACCACAAGCTCCCAGAGAATACAAGGTAAAATGGCTCAACTAAAGACTCCATAGAAAGGCTTCAGCTGACATATTTCACCTTGTATTTGCTGAGGGCTAAAATTGGGCATATTTTTACTGGTAACTTCATTATGTGCTTGAGGCATTATTACGTATGCCAAGGTCATGCATTTCCCTATATACATTCCTCAAAATCACCTGCTCCCAGCATTAGGAATTTGCAAAACTGAAGAAATTTGCCAGGTACCTGCCCTCTTCTGCAGCCAGTAGCTTCCGGGAATCTTTCCAGTAAAGTGCATGTTTTCGGAACACTTTTACAAGCATTCTCATTTTTTCTTCCTAGTGAAAATAATAGGTAGAGTATTGGTAAGAGCAATGAACAAACATTTCTTAGTTTTCTGCCTTGCAGAAGAGCAACAAAGCTGTCAAAGAGCTGACATTGAAAGACAGATAAATATTATTATTCCTCTTTTACAGATTATGAAACAGAAGTATTAACACATGGTAGTATCAGAGCAGCTGGCAACATCTTTGCTCTTACATTATTTGTGAAGAGCAGGCTTTCTATCATTTTTAAATATGACTCTAAAAGTATAATTATTAATGATGATGCATAGAAAAAAAAGATCAACAATGCCACCAATAGTATATCATTTCAACACCAGATTATATTTTGATATAAGCTGCTTTTAGTATTTTATTTTATAGTACACTTTCATATGCAGAGTCTTATAAGAATTTAAGGTCTCTAATAGTTGGGCCTCCCACTGCACAGCTTATTAAAGCTCATATTCTTTTGCTCATACCATTTCTGACTGATAGACCTCACCTTGCTGACAACACAATATTAAGGATGTGCCTTCTCCCATAATCCCCATCTTCCCTCGGGCTGATCTCTACTATGCATTACCATGCAAAATGTTGGCAGCCTTGCCAGAAGAGAAGTATTACCCTCAAGGGATTCTTAGAACTGCTTGGAGACAACGTGGTTTAGAATAAAGAACAGTTGTTAATTGTCACAGGGGTCCCAGTTACTATTTTAATAGCTCCCATCTTCTGCAGATTCAGTGATTACAAAAATGGTTCTGGAAAAGAATGTGTTGCTACTCCTTATTACACTAGATAAATCTAAGAAAGTTAAATTGGGGAAAGAGAAGAAATACAAAATGTTTTACCTTGTTGCCATAAGGTAAACTGGCTCCAGTCTCCCTTTTCTCGCAGATTCTCATCTTCAGGTAGGAAGAGGCTTCTTTTTTTATCCATCACAGCAAGTCCCTCATCCCGAATGAGCTTCCAGTTTTTTTCTAAGGACTGTTGTGAGAGCCATGTTAGTGCACTGAGAACTTACTGCTTTCAGCTTTAGTATCATTTATATTTTTCCCTGCCATTAACAACTTTTTTAATTTAAAAGCACAAAAAAAGTGTTCATCATCATTATCAAGTTTCTTTATATTTGATTCCCTTCTGACACGTTAAGGCAGGAAAAACAACTTTTACAGCATTCTTCAGATTCAATTACATCGGGATCAGGAAATTTCAATAATACCCAGCTTCTATGCAGATTAGGCCTCATTTTACTTGCTTTTTGATTAGCCTAAGGGCTCTTTAACAGAACATTTTATATTGCAAGCTACAAAGAGTATTGGTCTTCTTAAAGACAGTACGTGTTACCTGGAACCACTCCTGCAACTGGAAAACCACTCACATAACCTAAAACTCCAAGTGGTGACAAAAATCACAGTGCAATGAGGACGAATATAAACAGGCCACTTACATTGACAATTATGATTTAAATCTTCAAAAGGCTTGCAAAGATTCACTTGCACATGCTGATGCTATTGAAAAAGTTCAAATACAGCTTGAAATGCCAGGTGATGATTTATGGACACAACCATTAAAAATGTGTAAGCTGCCTCGTACTTCATACATACCGAAACCACAAGATTGTAGAATTAAAAATTCTGTTCCCTGCTGCCTTAGGACACTATATTTGTAAAATTCAGATGGATCAGAACACCTTTTATTCTACCAATAATAAGTCACTTTAATGTTATAGCAATATAAATGAAAAACCCACAGCGTAACAAGGGACCTGGATAAAAGTGACCATTTCCCAGCTGCTTACTTTACTCACTAAACCTTATTTTGGGTGAATAGTTTTCTATTTTTCTTTGTGCTCTTGGACAAAGCACTTTTGTAAGACATTTTTGATCAATTTCATACTGAAAATGGGCTAAGGTTTGTTCCCACACTACTTCTTCATATGATGTACAAAGCTGAGTAAAACTCAAAAATCTGTGAGACTAGGCAATATAGCTGCCTCTTTTTATCCTTAAAACTCCATAGGGTTATTAGTCTTTCTCATTTAAATTAAACAGCTGCATTTTCCACTTGAGTTTTTTCAATTAAAAGACAAGCTGATGACACAAAATAGGTTGTATGTTGGTGTCATAAAAGGCTCAGCAAGCCACAGCTAGAACATGCTGCATATAACACAGCAACTTTCTCCCATTAGAACATTTTTAGGTAGGCTAAAATCTATGAAAATTAGGATTGCACTGATGTTAATACAATACCCTCTTCTTCCTAGCAAATTGTTCTCTCTCTCATCCATCAGCAAAGGGGAAGAGCACTTAATCAATTTCCTGGTGCAGCCACCTTATTCCCTCCCATTGATGGTTTTCCATAACACTGTTTAACAGCTGATGTTAAGTAGAAATGTTTCTTAGAATATCTTCGGAAAACTGACTTTTACAAAATGCAGGGTACAAAGCAAGGCTGAAAATTTCCAGCTGATCAGAGATGAATATGGGAACAGTGCTGGTACTGATTCAGTGCTCCCATATCTACAAAAGGAAATACCAGCTTCAGTACCTGATTTTGCACTGGCTGGAGAAGAGAAAGAAATAATAACTTGCAAATTAAAGTGATGCAGATCAACAACACTGGAAAACTTTAAAAGATATTACAAGTGCTTCTCTCTCCCCTCAAAAATCCTCCTACTCCTTCATCTAAAAAAAGGTAAATGGAGCATTCACCCATGCAGACAAGATGATGCATGCAGAGCACTGGTAGTCCAAAGAGGTGCAGGCAACAGCTGCTTTGTCACCTCTAATCCTTCAAAAGTGCCACAGGCTGAAAGTTAACCTCCAAAGGTGCATGTTTGTCCTTTGCTTTTAAGGCTCCTACATGTTGGGTATGAAGTGATTGGAATATATAGAATTTATTTTAAACTAGCTCCTCAATGGTTTTAGACATAACTTGCACTGAAATCAATAGTGCCTCTATACTCCTGAAAACCTGGACCACATCTATAAAAGATGCTGACAGTGCTTTACTATGAGTAACAGGCAACTCCTAGGCAGAAAGGAAGCAGGGAGTTATAGGAGGTCAAACACAGCTCAGCCTTGACCTCTCTGATTTCACAGACTCTTAGGTATACCTTGAATGGTAAGAACACAGAACACCACTAAAACACAATGACTAAGTCCAGGACTTGAATTTAAGGCTCTTGATCCAAGATCTGGTATCTACAGAAAAAAAGTTAAATATGCTTATGCTCCACAATATGTAGGGATTCAAGCCTCAGTTTAAAGCAACAAATTCATATTATAATTCGTGCAATATCCTGATTTCAAGTGAAGAATCAAGTGGTGAACATCATTCAGAGCATATGTACTTGTTTCCTAGCAGCTGATTCCTATAAACCTCCATATGGCTTTTTAAACACAGTTCCTAACAATAATGGAAGTTTACAGTTGCTTTACATTTGTCAATAGTGTAGTTTTTTTGGCAAAGACGTTACTTTATTTAAATTGTGTTTTCTTAATGCTGGTTTATTTTTATGTGTGAGCATTATATTGAAAATTCCTTACTCCTTGCTGTCAAACCCTTTCAAATGTGTGGTCATAAATGGCACAGGCAGAGATTAAGAGGTTACTATCCCTCAGGTGAGGCATAACTACTGACCACACGTCCATTTTAATCCACTGGACTATAAAACAAAATCATGGTGAAAACTTCAATCTATTTCTTACTGAAACAGAGTAGGAGAGTATTCACTATCAGTTACTGTGTCTCTGCTAGGGGACACTCATGATCTTCAAGTAATGGGCAGCATTTTAAGCCTTTCAAAACAGATCCCTTTGGTCACTCACGATGACTGAAGATCAGCATGCATACACATCAAGTCTGCTCTTTTCAAGACAAGCCTCCACTTAAACCATCCAGCCACACTTTAGATGCATATTTCAATTTAATTTCTCCATTAAATATGAATATTTACCTGTTAGTAGCTAACCATTAAGCCCTAGCTGTCATTCAACAGACAACATTATGGATATGTGCTGTTCTTTCTCTTTCTGTTCTTTTCTCGCTGCACTTTAAACTTTTAATTAATAAAAACTAAGTCATCAGAGAAAACTGACAATACAAGATCTACTTTAATCAATCAGCTATTCACTATAGTACATTATTGGCAAAGCATCCTATGGGTCCTTTCCAAAAGCCAATGGACACAACATGAAGAAAGGACAAAGTTAGGTATGTCATTACCTAGGTATTAGTTTTGGACTGGTGAAAAGTCTTTAGGATCCAATAGCATTGTACCTCTTATTATTTTTAAAATGAGCATCAGAATAGAATAATAGTGCCATACTAAGGTTCTAAAAAAGGTACCAGAAAATGGTGCAATGACTCAGTAAGACCATCCATGGAAAGCTAATAACCCCAAGGGAGCAGGACAGGTTTTCAAAGACAAAAGTAAGGTTTCCCTTTAGCTGAGCTCAAACAAGATAGTTTCTTGAACCTCCAGATCCAAAGTCCTGAAATACTGTAGATCAGAAACACTAACAGAACACTTATACATAAATCAACTGACACACTCTTCCTAATTTAAAGGCTGTTTTCCACTCCCTGAGAAATCAGGTGCCTCTTCCTATTCAATAAAAGAATATATATATTTTTTTTTGTTTTGTTTGGCCAAAGAATGATAAAAAGTTTCCTGTCTCTCCATCTTCTTTATGGCAGGAAATAACCTATTCCTACACATTCCTCAAGAATGAGTGCAATACGTGCACATTTCAAATCTTTCCAAATGCTAGTCCATAAAGCTAACTTCTTCTTTTGTGTGACTGAGATTACAACAGAGAATCACACTTTAATCTAAATTTCCTAGCCCTATTTATGCTGCCATCAAAAGCTTAACAAGAAGTAATTTCCATTTTTTGTTTTCTTTCTTTTTTTTTTTTTTTTTAATAAAATCGTCCTTTCATAGTAGGTTTTTTAACACGTTATGTAACTAAGTATAATGAAAAAGCCACTCTGACGTGTCTTGGAAACAAACATGTTTTTAAATTATTTGTGCAGCATAATTTTGTAAAACCACATACGAGTAATTAAAACTTACAAGGTGGAAAAGAGGTTCTTACTGCCTTTCCATTTTATTTTAAGGAATTATGATTAAAATTATTAAAATTAAAATAAAAATTATGCTATTTTGGAAACTCAAATTATTATTATGATGAATAATAACCAGACTACTTGCCTTGCATTAAAAAAATAACTTTCAAGAACTTAAATTCTATGTTGTTATCTTTTGCTAAATCTGTCACTGGGAGTCTACACTCGTTACTTTTATGCAATTAAAAGCTTCCAAAGAAGTCACCAAATGTTACACAAGGGATGAAGGACACAGTCATTCCTGATCAATTAAAAATTCACAATGGGTGTCCCAGACATTACCAAAGTTTGCTGTCATTTTGCACTTCAGACATTATGGTTGTCTACCATGCAAATTTTGTATTTATTAATCATTTCAGCCCCCCTGTCCTCATTCTCAACTTGGAAAATGCCTTACTTAATTTTATAGTATCTTAGTTAAATCTTGTGCTCAGTCGGAGACTGATGTCTGGTACTTGCAGGCAGTGATTCGGACCTTATAGATTAGCACTTTCTCTGCTTAATACTTTGGATTATAGTTGTTATTAACAAAAAATATAGAGAAACAAAGTGCTTTACCTTCACCAGTTCTGTATAACCAGTTTCCTTTGCTGTCCACCAAGGCTGAGCTTTCAGTCCCTTGACGTTGTAGAGGGAGCGCTGCCAAACTGATGCAAAGTGACCCCTTTGGTATCCAAGTTCATACCACTTGTATGCCTAAAAGATTGAAGTTGTTACATCAGCCAAGCTCCCACATAAAAAAAGTAACTCATGCTTTTTTGGTAACTTGACAGACTCTCTCTTTGAATGCCAGGGTTATTCTTCTAATGTAATGTAGTAACAAACACTTCAAGGAAAAAAAAAACCAAACAACCAAAGAAACCCAAAACCCTCCAGTGAATAATTCCACAATAGATCAGAGTCAGCCAACTATATATATGCACTTGAGTTTCTTCAAATATTTGTTTCCACACCAGAAATGAGTTGATGCTACTAGTTTTTCTTGTCCTTCCCCTTTATTCCATACAGTAGAAACCTACTGAGGCTAATACCAGGTCTTTGCTTGTCTTACTCTCCCTTTCCACAACTTGCTTTACCACTGTATAGTAGCTAAATGAGGTCTTGCAAAGGAGGAAAAATGGGATGCTTGGAAAGAAAGGATCCAGCATGAGGAGCACTGTGAAGAACCACATACAGAGAAGGTTACACACAGCTGCCTCCTTCCTGCCAAGCACTGATGGTACAGCTGCAATATTTTAGACAAAAACCAAACCAAACAAACCCCACCACTAAAAACAACCCCCCAAAAAAATAACAAAAAAGGAAGGAGCCATGTGTGTGCCCACTATCAGAGGACTGCCTCATCCACCTGTCTTTGTGGGATCCAAGGGTGGTGGTAATTTTCCTTATCTCTTTCCTATCACTCTTTTCTTTTCTTCCTTCTTACAAAAGGTTTCCACTACGAACCCACATTGCCAACCACTTTTACATTTTCCAAGTTCAAATTGTTTACATTATAAATAAAATGTTTAATTGATCATTTGGTATCATTTCACCTTAATCTAGCCCTAGGAGATTTACAGAACTTTAGTAGCTCTCCAGGATGCAACAACTACATGACTATTTTAATTATTTGATTCTCAGAGAGTAATTTATCCTATTTTAACTTATAAGCATATGACATTTGTCCATTAATCTGCCCACATTTGACACAAAGGCTAAAACAAAAGACTTATTGAAATAAAAACCACAGTACTAAGTCTTAAGATATAGGAGGGTCATTTTATGTATGTAGACTAATGGCAAGCAGAACATATAATCAGATAAACACATCTCTAGGAGAACAACTCGTATCAGCTTATTATTTATGTTTACTTTGAAGCCAGTAAACTAGAATGAAAACCAAAACGTTTTTTGGATACAAATTAGCCATGAGAACAGTGTATGACTTATTAAGACAAAAAGCTATTGAAATTCCTCACGTAATGGATTATTTCTAAAAATGCCCAGGTGCCATTTTAGAGATCTTTTATTTCAGATATAAGGTAAGAAGTGAATTTGAGTGGTTTTGTTTTCAAATTTTTTTGTAAGTCTCTACATTGTAACCATAGATTATTTTTTGAGAGGCTGTAAATTTTCTTCAAGCTTTTAAAAAAATGTGGTACCCTGTTCTTTATAGCACTTTTGAAGTATGAAGGAAAGGTTGCAATAGAATGTTGCTTTACAATACTTATCTGAAGTACAGAAAACCAGTGTGGATGAACAGAATAACAGTGGATCATATATAAGCTTTAATCTTCTTTTTTTAACTTTGTAAAATTCTGTGTAAGTAAAAAAAAATTATTATGCATTACCTGTGGGTAATACACAGAGTATCTTTAAATTTTGATGTTAACTTGGTTAAGTCTCTGATATGGAAGCATTATGATTTATAATGCATGATCCCCAAGACATACGTTGTAATAGCAGTGGGATATCAATAGATGTTTATGCTGACTGCCTGCATTCATTTGTAATGTCTGGAGTTGGCCCAACTGATAAGGGGGATGAATTACTTGTTTCAGCCACTGACTGATGAGTATAAATGTTGCTGCTCTTTAAAATCCATCAGCTATAATCACAATGTATAATACTGTTAATCCTTATCTATTAGAAGATTTGTGCTATGAGGTTGCCTTTGATAGGATGGAGTAGGGTTAGGTTGCCTTGCTCATCTTTTCCAGTCCTGAGTTTCCATGAGAAACCTTTCTTTTTGCATGCAGATCTCGGCAGCAGGAAGACTAAAATATGATCACTGTAGTATTCAGGACAGCTACCACAGTATAGTTTTTTTTCCAGGGAAGTAATTGTTTGAGATGCACTCAGCTTAAACATTCTGTGGACAGCACTTTGTTCTATAATACCATCTACATTTCTAATTTGTCTTTTTTAAAGTCAATTTGACATTTTATCAAATTATAGTTTGAAAAGGCATACTGAACACTGCTCCTCTAATACTTACCAAGACCACATTGATAATTCCTAATTTAGTTCTAGTAGATGAATAACTACATTCAACACACCTTCAGTGATAGCACTTTCAGGTGTTCCTTAAATATTGATCTGTTTCCTTGATTAAATCTTGAAGTTCAGCAAGTCTAGCAAGGTCAGTGAGAAAAATTTAGCCTAACAGTGGACTTTCTCCTCTATGCCAAGAACTTCATTTGTCATTGATAAAATTTTTTTCTACAGCAGATTTGACCATTAACTCCATAAACATTAACACATAATTATCCTGGGGATAGGGATGATACACATTAATCACATCTACGTGGTATCTTTGTAATGGGATGCTCTAGACCCCATCATTCAACCCAGAATATCCCACAGAAGCATACAGGGATTCTCTTTGGCTTTATGTTGAGAGACGGACAGACAGAGAGAGAGACAGCAATGTGTGTGTTTACACATAGAACGAGGCCATCAAACTCTCACTTGTAAATGAACTTTTAAATTCAAAACACTTAATTGGAAGAGTATTGTATTGCACTTTCAGAGAAGGCAATCTAATCTAACAAATATAGATATTGCCACATTTCAATGTATGTATGAGGTATTGTAACTAATGTTTCACAATTTGTAAAAAAAGAAAATTAACCTTATGAACTAGGCTTGAGAAAAACACTAACGTGGGCTTCATTATAGTCTACCTGTATATAGTTCATAATGGAGCACTGCCTACTGACTGGGCCAGTATATTCAGGAGGTCAGCATTCTTTACAGTAATCTAGGTATCAACATTTTAGACCTATCACTAGATAAGTGATTAAAAAGCAGTTCCATTATGCTTTTTTATTCTTATTCTTTTCACATTTCCCATTAGGTTTTTTTGGTTTGGTTTTCTGTTTGGTTTTAAATTTGTGCCCATAGTAAAGTTCCTTACTAATAACAGCCTTCAACAAAAGTCCTTTGTTCCTCTACCACAGCAATAGTGGTAAATCACACATTTAAATTTGACTGTTACATTAAATTTGGGTTTAAATTAGCAATTTGGAAACTCTTATGGCTTTCAGTTGCATATGTTTGATTTTGTTGGCCATGCAACAAGAGTTGTTGCACAAATTTCTGCTTTTCTGATCTGTTTGCTGCTTCAATTATTGAACAAATACCATAACTCAGCCCTCACATTCAGTCCTTTCATGGTCTTCTTTTATCATATAGTCATTGGTGCTCAAAGTCACTTTGGAAAGAAGGGAGGTTTACAAAACACTGTTACACCAGAGCTATGAGAGAGCCTCTATACAGTCATATACATGTAACTGTATTTTTTAACTCTAGTTAAAATCTTTATTGTAAGAAACATGAGCAGAAAATAGACTATAAAAACATCTTGAGAGAATTTTTGAAAAATTTTTGGTCCCTTGGTTCAAACTGTTCCATGCAAGCTTTAAAAGTTTAGATTAGATCTAAAGCAAGGCCTGCTAAGAGATTGTACTGTCATGCCAAAGGCAGATTTTTTTGCAGTTGCTCATCTTGACCTCTACAGACATATGCTGAATTGTTATTGCAGTGAGACTACTCATGTTTCCGACATTAAGCCCATGCTTAAAAGTTTTTCTGGATTCTGCAGTCCATCAGGGGTTTAGACTTTAAAGCAAGAACATGTCAAATGGGTACCTCTTTGTCTCCCATTCTCTGCAAGGCATCACCCAGATGAAAATAAAAGCGTCCATCATTTGTGCCAGGGTCACCAGACTCTAGCCCTTCCTACAAAAAAAAAATTAAAAAAATAACAAAGGTATAAGAGAAACTCCAATTGGACTTGCAAAAGAGTTTATTTGATTGCTGGAAATAGGCCGTCAATTCCATGCAAGAGACAGGCAATGAGATTGCCTATACAGCATAACCACCATGGTAAACTGGAACTTAGGTTACAACAGTTCAGTAAGAAGACACTGAGAAATGTAAATCAGTTTTCCAAATGCCATGGCCTCTCCCCTCAGTCCCTCCAAGACAGAAGTGTATTCAGATATGGACACTTGCTCCTGACAACCATTCCAGAAAGCTGGTTAAAGGTTTTATTTTGTTGTATTTCTTCCCAAACACTCAGAAGCATACACAAGCCCTCTCTGGATTTTTCAAGAACCTTACGTTTGCAGCATACTGTCAACCTCAAAACAATTTGAGACTCAAAGCTGTGTACTTAGTGTTAACTATGAATTAAAAAAAGCAACTTGATATTTAAGAATTGATGAGTCTCAATATACAAGCTTGCTCTAGTTCACAGGTGGTAACATAGCAATATAATTCCAACATGTAGTTTAAACTGTGTTTTGTGATTAGTATGCTTCTACCTTGACATGTTTTACACATTTCAATTTTATTTTTTACAGGCAAAATATTTACAGTAGATGAGAAAAGAAAAATACCTTTAGATAGGGTATGCTCTCTGCTATCTTGTTTTCTGCCTTCAGGATGAAGCCATAATGCACTTTGGCAAAGCCATCATTTGGAGCCAGGCTTAGAACCTGTTTGAGAGCAAATGAATTAATCATGTATGAATCTATGCAAATTAACAAACCTGTGCACATATTACTATTTAGCAATGCAGTGATGTTTTCTTCCATCACTGAGTCTCAGATAAATTCTTGGCTTGGCTGTACTTTCTTTTCCCCATTCACTTTTGTACTTCTCTACAAAAATCTATTACAATCCAAATTTTCAAGTCTCAAGTAAAATTGTTCCAACTGGCATGTCTGAATTGCATTATGTTTTTCAGTTGTCTGTCCTCCTCTGCCCTCTCTCTTGACTTGCAACATGCTACATTACAGAATTAACATCTTATATTAACACTTAGGTTACCTATCCCAGGTTTGACTAATCCGAGGGAAAGCAGCTGCTCTTTGAACAAGTCTACAGCACAGTCATGGGAAGCATAGCATAGAAGTATACCTGAAATTGTTTAAAATCAGAAAGGTTTATACTAGTAGGGACTGTGCAAACCCTGGGTACACAATGGGCACTCTCAGCACTGGGGTCAAATGAAGCACACTCTGGAAGAGCTTACACTTACTTGGCCAAGAGAAAGCTATCATAAGACAGTAATGCAAGGTCTAATGCAGTAGTGATTCAAAGTGCTTTCACACTAGAAGGTCATGGATAAATTATTCTTGTCTAGTTGTGTGCTGCACTCTTTGATCAAGACCAAGACCCAGTGTGCTGAATTAAGCTAAGAGATTTTGTATCCTGAGCAAGATTCAGATAATGTCTGAGTTGTCACCTGAGTTCATTTTGCAGGAAAGGAAAACCCAGAGGCAAATATCCAGAGACTGGTATTTCATGGAGACTGTGCAAGAGAAAAATTTACGAGAACAAGGACAGCTGTAGGAAAGGATCAGTGCATGAGGGGGGAAAGGAGGTGTGAATCAGGCTGGCCTAAGTTCTGAAACACATACCCCCAACGTTACTGAGATCATTTAAGTGCATTTGGTCTGCCTCAGCCAAGGGGAAAATTGATCTACTTTCCAGTTCCACGTCAGCCTGGAGAAGAGAAGGCTCTGGGCAGACCTTATTGCAGCCTTCCAATTCCTGAAGGGGTCCTACAGGAAAGCTAGGGAGGCACTTTTTACAAGGGGACATAGCAATAGAATGAGGGAGAATGGTTTTAAGCTGGAAGAGGGTAGATTTAGACTAGATATTAGGAAGAAATTATTTACTGTGAGGGTGGTGAGACACTGGCACAGGTTGCCCAGGGCAGTTGTGGATGCCCCCTCCCTGGAGGTGTTAAAGACCAGGTTGGATGGGACTTTGGGCAACCTGGTCTAGTGGGAGGTGTCCCTGCCCATGGCAGAGGGGTTAGACCAGACGATCTTTAAGATCCCTTCCAACCCAAGCCATTCTATGATTCTATATAGTCAACATATCTTGTAACTCTATGTGATATCAATTACATGGTTAAGTTAACCTGTTGTTACACCTCTTCTCTCCTTAAAATAAGGGTGGATGGTCTTATCAGAACAGATACTCAGTCTGTGGGGATCATCACAAAAGTCTGGCAGACAGTGGCATTACAGAGGCTGATGTCTGCTGAACGTCTAGCACAGCTGCTAAATACAAAACAATGGACAGATGAGCAATTTCTCTTGCCTAAATCTATTTTTGAAGCTACTGAACTTATGACATGATAAAATGTCTGCATACATTATAGCCATTTCCCTCTGCCTTTTCCAGTCACTGTCTAACCTAATTTTTCAATCAAAAAAATTACAAGCAAAACCATAACAAGTCCTCTGGGCCAATTTCTTTGCTTTCGCAAATCTTATTACATACAAACTACATCTGAGCAAAAACAAAACCAGCACAACGTGGATATAAAGTGTTATGAGTTAAAAATAGCAGCATTACACTTATTTTTGCAAAAGAGAGCTACTGCGAAGGAACAATCAATTTGAGAATATATCTGAAGGTCATAATATGACACATTAGTAGCAAAAAGTGAACCTGGCAATTCATAGTAAGGATGAGCTTGATCCCTAGTATAAGGATACACTATCAACTTATGCATCTTATGTCTTTTGACTACATCATTCTGCGTATAGTCATTTTGGTCCAGGAATCTGTACCTGCAGGGTAAAACAAAATGACTGACAGAAATATTTATTAGCCATATAATTTTGTTACAGTTCCTTCAACTATAGGATAAAGCTATCTGATTAATTAAGACAGAATAGAATTTTCTGTATTATGGTTCATTTAAACTATGCCGAGTTGCATTAAGGCATGATCTACATTCAGAGCCCCTAAAGAGAAGCGAAGAGATACAATCAGCAGAAATTACACTGGAAGTATTTAATGTAAATTGTATTACTCTGTTGCTGTTGCTGCATGCAATATTAATTATGTTTAGAAATAAGTTTTACTAAACTGCTCATAGCCCATTAAATATTAATCATGAATACAGAAATTAACCTCTGGGGCTATCAGTGGCTAATTAGTCAGGGCAGAATACTGTGTTCATGTGGATATTCTGCTTTTGGTACCTGAGACAGCTCAATCAGAGCTGGCTTGTGCATGTCTGTATGATGCTGCATTGAACCATGCAGACATGCCTCAGCATGGCAGGCACAAAAAGCGCTATCAGCAGAGTAACTGGTCTCATAAAGTTCTCTTCATCTGTATTTTATCATCATATGTAGATCTTTGAAAACTAAAAGAGCTCTAAGTTCTATTAGGACTACTTTTAACATTATGTTTCCTTTGAAAACAAAAATAGCTCTAAAATCTACTAGGGCTATTTAGAATGTTATGTATCTGTGTTCCTAAGTGTAATGTTTAAAAGAAAATGCTTTAATATTAGAGGTAAAACTGAAATGCTCTCCTGTTGCACACCATTTTCCATTTGTAGTTCAGCACAAAGTCTGGTAAATGCATATTAGAAAAGTGTATTTTGTGTCAGTTAGACTGTACCACACTACAGCTGTAAGTACAAAACTCTTGATCTGAAGTTCAGTGTTTATACCTATCAGTTCTGTAGCTAAAAGAAGCAACATATCATTCATATTTAAGACTTCTGAAATAAAAATGTGAATATAACACTTCAACAGATGCTAAGACATAACAAATTTGGAATGGAACATAAGAATAGAATGGAAAATAAGTAAACTGGATATTAAATATAAAGCAGAAATTTTTCATTCACTAGGGTTCCTTGCATCTATTCAGTTCCTTGGAGATGAGGCCAGCTACAGTAAGTCTGGTCTGAAGTGGTGTATCCTGTAATCCCAGTGTAGGAGACCTCAGAAGGGTCCAGCTGGTTGCACATACTCAGTCCATGCCTAAAACAGACTGATAACACTGAATTATGATAAAAATGTTGAAGCAGGAAGCAAAGGAGGACATGTGTGCCTGTAAGTAATCTGGGGAAGAGCTGCTCGCTAGGGCATGTAGCGACTGGATGAGGGGTAATGGTTTTAAACTAGAAAAGGGTAGATTTAGGTTGGATATTAGGAAAAAATTTTTCAATATAAGGGCGGTAGATCACTGGAACAGGTTGCCCAGAGAGGTGGTGGAGGCCTCATCCCTGGAGATACTGAAGGTCAGACTTGATGGGCCTCTGAGCAACTTGATCTAGTAACATTGTCCCTGCTTACTGCAGTGGGATTGGACTGGATGATCTTTAAAGGTCCCTTCCAACCCAATACATTCTATGATTCATAAATATAGGAAGTGACTACTGTGCATCATGGAGTGCATGCTCTTGTCTGCGCTATCCTACATTTTTCTATCAAATAACTAATTTGAGAGAATCAACTACACTAGTGACAAGAAGGAGATAATCACATAGAAGTTTCCCAGGTTTTTGAAAAAATCATAGGGAAAGTAAGATGTCTCCTGGAGGCCCCCAGAGCCGCTCTTCAGTTTGCCCCTCTCTTTACTAACTATGCACTGAGCCTGGGCCCCTATGGTAGAAGCTCCAAACCATATGTCAATCACTTTCTAAATATGCATTGCAACAGCTGAGTGAAGCACTCAAGAGGAGACCATATGGCCCCTAAGAAATCTGCCCAAAATCATGTAAGAAGCCGTCAGTATAACCAAGAATAAAAGTGGGTACACATGAGCTTCTCCCTGTTTCTTTGGCTATATTTCCATCCTTAAAATTCTTGTAAATTTATCCTGAACTCCAACAAAGAAAAAATATTACATACCTGTGTTGGAATGCAGTCAGAGGAACAGCCAGAATATGGACAAAACTCACATCATTTTTAAAAAGAATAAACCCAACTCATTTTAAAAAGTATTTATTTGTTGCTCTTTTACAAGAGCAGAACATCAGTGTGATCTATTCTGTTTCAGTGGTTAGTGAACTGCAAGACAGGGTAATTACACTGGATAAAGTCTATGGAAGCATGGAAAACAATGTATCAAAAGCAGAACAGTTCTTATTTTGCATATCTGATCTTAATCAGAGCAGTATACACTTCCTCTGAAGTGTATCAAATTCAGCATGAAAGTAATTACATGGCAAACTCATTACTTTCTTCAATTTATAAAAAGTACTGTGATACTGACATAGCAAAATTCTAACATCTACATCGTTTGCAGCAAAATACTGAAAAAATGCAAAGGAAAATCTTGCCCAAAATGAGTATGTTTTTGTTTTGTCAAGTTCCTTGCAGCTTGAAAAGCAGATTCAGTTAACATATTCTATCTTTAAAAGATGTTTCAAATACTCTCAGAAATTTTGACAGCAGGCTAAAAATTATTGAGCAGAAATGGTTTATGGAGGGACCTACAAGGTTGCCAAAGTAGCAAAGCAAACATTATTCATTTCCTGTTTCCAACCATTTGGTTGAATGTCCTCCGCCTCTTTGAGATGAGAATCTCCTCAGTCTCCTAGATGTGAGGGACGGAAAACTGGGCCTTTACTCTCAGGAGTTGGTACTAATCATGCTGACTAGTCTTCAGTTTACATAACCAGCCAACCACTGTACTACACCTGTACTAAACCACCACTACAACAAGCATGCCAACACAACAAGATCCTCTCCAGTCAGGTGCTGACAGCCTGTGCTCTACCAGTGATGTCAAGCTCCACATCTGTCAGAGAGTTTCCAGATGTTAACAGGGTTTCCGGATCACAGAGGCAGAGTGACCCTTCCCGGCAGTGAAGTTTCCCCAGCCTGATAACCATACTATAAGACAGGAATATAAATCCAATCAACTGTTCACACTGCAAGCGTCATGAAAGAAAAACAGAATGTAGGCTGCCTACAAAAATCACAAAGAACCAAAAGGTTAAATAGCTGTGTGAGTAGTGAACGACTTCATCTGCTGGCTCAAGACAGTGTTCCTGTAAAGAAACAGACTTACACCTGCTTTCCACATCTTGCAGGTAAAACATTTTTTTATACTATGCATTACATCTGTATGTGTCGTCAATATATTCCAAAACTGGTTACCAGAATGTATAAGAAATTAAATATTATTAAGCATATGAAAAACATCTGCATTGCTCTGTCTGTGAGGAAAAAACATTTAGCGTGACAGAATCAGAAAATCTGAATTAAAATTAGAGGATAATTAGGAACTGCACAAGAAAAAAATCATATCTATATTAACCCTTCAAAACCTCACATGCAAAATGTTTAATAACTAAAAAAGTTAAAAGCTGGAATCTTTAGAATGAACATATGAATGCCAATATTTTTCCTTGGCTGAAATGGAAACTCACCTCTTCATATACTTTCCTGGCATTGCTGTTATCTCCTATCAATAGGTAACCAACACCAAGGTCATTCTTGAATGAAGTATCACTGGGAAACAGCTGAACTAATTTCTGTAGAGTAATCAGGGAACCTCTCATGCGACCTAAGTTAATTGAACAAGACTTAATTACAACTACAGATATGAGTAACAGTAGTGAGGCACTTACACAACACCTAAGAAAACACAAATCAGAGCCAGGTGTTTCACTGTGACCAATGATCAAATCAGAGAACTTCAGAGAAACTTGTACAGATTTGAGTATATTCAGCTACTTGGTTGGGCTGAAGCCATAGAAGGAATATTTCAGGAAATCACTGCGAATGAGTATCACGCAGTGTTATGGTAGCCTCTAGTGGAGACTCCTTCACATTGTCACAGTAACAACGTTATTTAATCTCCGGTTGCCCTTTCATACACAGAAGACAAAGTGCTTGACAGAACTCAGTAAACTTATCAAAGTAAACTTAGTCTTAATCGATTAAGTGATTAAACACATTTTTAGTGTTAAGCCATAGTTCTACTATATTTCTATTAATAAATTAATCATGCTTTAAATGCTTAAAATTAAATTACATTCCTTGACTTCGTAGATGAGGTCTTCCTGAGAAACATCAAAACAAATTGAGATTAAAATCCAACACGTGGGATCCAAAACTCTTCTTCACCAAAGTTGACTGTGCCTCATATTCTAATCAGCACTTCTTGTACATCACAGAACTGAGATTTAAACTTCCAGATGTTATCCCTTAGTTCAATTACTTTCTTCTCTATGTTTACTGAAAGCTTATTCTGGGTCTGTTTACTCTGTGCATGCTATTAATTTCCTCATGATTTCCTTCAGCTTCTGTAGAAAAAGAAGAACATTTTCTCCTTTCTCTGTCAGTATTTATTTTAATCACCTTTCATCATAGCTTCTCACAGCACCTTGTGCACTGTTGTCTACAGGCACAGTTATCATACAAGCAACTACACACACTAGTTCCCTAGAAATAATTTTAAGAATTTAAAAATATTTTTTCATAAGCATTGAAGAGATTAGGAATGAAAAGTCAATGGAATTGGCGCTTTTAAGTCCTTAGTCATCTTTTGACAGGCTGGCTCACAGAATGTCCATAATTTTTACACCATCCTCAAATCTTACCAAGAAACTGCTGCCTGTCAGCTTCTCGTTTCAAGCTCAGTTTTATCAGATCTGATGGGACATTTGGCAGAGTAACCACCTCATCATAGGTGTTGATAGCTTTCTGCAGTATCTCGTTACTTCTCATTTTCTCAGCTAAATCATCTTCAGACTAGAAAGAATCACAAAACCATTATTAGAACACATGATAGTTCATTAGTTTTAAAAATAACTTTGTTTTCTTAAAAGGCAAACTATGCAATTGTTACATTATGTGAATAATTTTAGAATTATCTTTATATAATTTTGACATAATAATGGAAAACTTATTTGGTTGTGCTTCATGGTAAGGAAGATTAGAGATACTGTAAATTCTGGTTTCCTGCAAACTTTTTGAAAGCATAAGTACATGCAAATTTGCACCTAAAACATGCATTAACACAGACTTTTGGTTAATATTTGTAGAAGTCATAATTTCTGCTTTTGAAAATAAATTAAGCAATCTGTTCTAATAACCATACAATCATAGAATGGTATGGGTTGGAAGAGACCTTAAAGATCATCTAGTTTGTGAAGCCTCACACCAGCAGCAATATACAGATCAAAACACACCAACAAGTATTTCTTTCATATATTCTGACAAATTTATTTACACTCAGATAACTAATTAGAAATCGGTTTTAGTCTTGCATATATTGACAGAATATCTACCCTACAAATCTTTCAGAACTTAGATTTTTAATCAAGTTCAAGAGCAGACCAAAGGATATACAAGATCTCTACTGTGAAATTGCTTCAGCAAAGCCAATGGAAGCTACGACTGATTTCACCTGTTTCCACAGCTGAAAAAAATTAGACTATCCCTCAAATGCTGAATTTTTAAACCATGACTTTGAATTGGTTATACAAATGCACGCATTCTCATGTGTTTAATACATTCCTCCCCAAAACATATTTTTATTAGCTTTTATTTTATTTTTTTTATGAGTTTTTATTAGTTCTTTGTCAGTTAGCAGAGCAAGGTGTAGGTGCTTCAAAAGCACTGCAGGTGCAGTAGCTCTTATTGGTCTTTCTAAATTCACTGTTGTTTCAAACACACATTAATAGAAGCAGTTTCAGCTGTGCTAACTGCATATGTTGTAGTAAGTAGTTAATATCTGGAATCTTTTTGCACTTCTGTCCTTTACTTTTCCTCTTGAGCTACTTCGAAACTGAATATGGGAAATACCAAACAATATGGTTACTCAGTCAGTTGATCAGTTGGTTTCAGAGATAACTTCAGAAATCAGTTTGAAGAAATTATTCTTCTGATGTACATTCACTAGGAAATCTGCTTTTTCCTTTTTTGAGGGAATTGAAGGGCAAAGATTAGTAAAAGATACATAAGCAAGAGGCAAAAACTGTCAGTGTAAAATCTGCATACATTCAGCAGTACAGATGCTATAAATCAAATAAGAAGGTTTAATATATAGCTATTCTTCTTTTCAGCCTTAAAGATGTTAATGATTTCTGTAGAATGTTTTTCATGTTGTCTGAGTGTAGCTCCAGAAACCACATCAGGAATTGCTCATATTTCTGAAAACCACTTCTAATTATGAAAACTTTTGCAGAATTTTTGGAAAAACAGTTGCATTTTAAAGCTATTAAAAGATTCAGAGAAAGGAATGCTCATTTCTTCTGGGAAATTGAAGCTACAAAATTAGCTTGTACTGTTGGTTCATGGTTCATAGAAAGGGAGAAGTACACTCTTGTGAATTCCTGGCCTTTACCCTTACCCTTCTCTGCAGTTTTACCTTTAGTTAGTGATGAGAGATAGCAAATTTGAATGCATTATGTTGGTATAAATACCCATTTCAAAGTAACATGGTGTTACAATGTAAATGCTAAGAATAATCCATCTGTCAGTGGAGCCCATGATTTTCCCAGTCCTTCAAACAGCTTCAACGTACACATACAGGATTCAATAAATTGTCCTTGGTCATGTTAATATGAGCATTCAGTGAAAAGACTTGTATGAGACTACAAAGGCTACTAAAAATGGATACTAATTTATAGTCGGTTTTATAAACTCCCATAAAGTGTATGCTAATTATGACTTCAGGTCTTGGTGTGTAGGACCTTTTAAGCAGTACTGAAGTAGTAGATTGCGAATAAATTGCTGTAAAGGTACATATGAAGTTGTATCACTGTGGGGGGAATGCTGAATGGGAATAAGCTTCACAGCTGGCTTCAGTGACCCGTTCCACTCCCTAAAAGTAGTGAGCTACTGAGGAGGCAGGAAGCATATTCTCTTAGATATAATGAGTAGATTCATAAAAAGGTAAATATTAAAAGTGTAACTTAACAGAGTTAAGTGCATCACATGAATGAACCAAAGTGGTCTCCTGTAAGAAGGTATATTAGACTATCTGTCGCATAGAGCACTGAAGTATTTGGTCCACTGTGTATCAAGTGTTCGTGTTTTTTGGATAATTGTGGCTTTGGTTTAAGCACAACTGTTATTAACTAAATGAAAACTGGTTAAAACTCCAAGTGACTCATTAATTGTATAACTACACAATTCCCTTCTACAGTGCAGGTTTCACTTTGCTCATCTTGATTAACAGGAGTTCAAGCAGTCTTTTATTACACCTAGTGCAATGGGATTATCCTGCTATTTATGAAAATATGAGGATTATTCTCTTCTGAGACACCCCAACATGGCTCAGAAGTATTACGAATGCAGAGCTTATTTTCCGATGCTTTCTCTTTTTTTGGACGAGAATACCTGAAACAGAACTCACTTGTCAGAAAAGGCTAATTAAGCTTTCATGTCTACAAATTTGGGTTCTTTATCCTTTAACATTCTCTCTATAAAACCTCAAAATCTCTTTCCTTCCCTATTACTACTAAGCAAAAAGCAGCATTTAGCCCAGAACTGACTGATGTGCTCATTTACCAGCTGCAGTAAACAGTATGTAACAACTAAATTCTGTCTGTTGTTCCCACACTAGGACATTAGTTGGAATTTATCTCTTACTGTTCATCTGACAGTTCTCATGAGATCTACAGGATATATCTTATTTTTGTGTTATTTACAATACTTCCACAAGACTAAAGTTAGACAAAAGCTCCCAAAGTAATTGGGGAAGAATAGAGGACTGAAACAGATACAATATGACAGATCACCTTTTTTTTTTTCCTTAAGAAACATCTATAAAATTAAAAATTAAGTCTGACTGGGATTTAGAACTCTATTTAAAAAAAAAATATTTATTTTCTCTTTTTTAACGTTTATGGCTTTTTTTAGTACCTGTGCTTTCCCGTATCTTGCTCGAGGACTCTGTGGATATCGATTCACTAATGCTTCAAAGGCCCTTAGAGCTTCTTCAACTTTTCCCTGGAAAGCAGAGGTATTTATCAGCAATCCTATCTAATAAAAACACTGAAGGATGCATGGTCTAATCACACATTATTTCCCCCAGCTAAAAAAAAACAAAAACAAACCAAAAAAAATGCAGACTCAATCAACAGTTTTCACCCACATTTTTGTTAGGATTGCTAGCTTATTTAAGAGAAATTAGTTGTAATTATTTCTGAAACAGTGTTATCCACTTCCTATGGTTAAAATGAATAGCTTTGGGTTTATTTTCCTTGCTTTCCTTCTGTTGACTGGAAAAAAGTGCTGAGATTACAATAACCTGTCTACATCAAGATTTAAAGATTCTGTTGCTTATAACAAAAGCCAAACTGAATGTAACAGAAAACAGAGGTGAAGTTCTAGACATATGTGGAAATTTCCCCTTTGCATACCTCGCATGACCAGCAGTATTGTAACTATGGTTCTTCTAGGGGAAATACTATGGACCTATCCACAGGTCTGTGGCTGTTTCCTCCAAATGTTCTAATAACCATGTCCCTCAGGACACCTCACACGTGCTCTGTGTCTCTTCTGTGTCCCATAAAAAGTCTGAATGTAGCTATGGTATTCTCATGATTGATGCTGACTTGCAAGTAAGGATGAGAGTTGAGAACCAGCTGCACTGTTAAAACAGGAGCTAAGCACTGCTCAGCAAAATTTGGCACCAGATCTTGCTGCCATTTCCAACACTTCCAGCTCTATAAACATGAGTGGATTATTATACACAGCTGTCTTGCTATGTTCACATATTACACATGGTTTGTTACTAAATTTATCCTGTTTCCTACAAGACAAGCATCATTGTCTGCAACTCACCAAGACACAGAGGTAGGAAAAAGAGTCACCCAACTGACCTTATAGGCTCATCAAAAGTTTCTGTTATACCTTTCTCTGATCAAGCAATTGTTTAAATAACAAGAAGCATGAAAATGCTTTTTATTTTTGTATTCTAGCACATAAATAAGGTTCCTAGTGAAGAGCAGCAGCTGAGGCAGCCTGAGGCTAGTGCTCTCTGAGTAGTAGCTCTTCTGCCCCATCACAGACCCACAGGATCTTTGGCACTGCATGGATGGCAATGTAAATCTAAATCTGCACAGCCTTCTGCAAATCAAGAATAATCCTACACCTGCAGTGATTAAAATGGTTTTTATTGTACTGTACTGAAAATGGTGTATCTTGTTGCTCAGACATCTCAAATCAAAGTGCTAGGGCTGTCTGTGGGGCATATCAGAATTTTTGTAAGATTTACATTTCATTTCTAACAGTCACATAGTCTTGCTTCATTATTTAATCTCGCATTTGGTAAAGGGACACCTTTGCAATGGTCTTGTTTTCCGAATCATTTAAATAAAGGAATAAAATTGGAAGTTATCAGAGATTACTGAAGAGGTTTTGTTTATTGTTGAGAGGTTTTTTTGTCTGTTTTTCATAGTCAAGTTACTAAATTTCAAACAACCAAAATGGATTAACTGATGTTAAGGTCCTGCTGCCACTAGTGAGAAGCAGGAACAACTACTTTGTGCTGTAAGCAGCTGCACAGCAGCAGAGAGACTCACAGGACACAGGCAGAATCCTAACAAACAATGTCCATGACAAAGATTGGCAACTGATGCTCAGGAAGCACATGAACACTTACTGAGACATCCATATTAACATGCTTATATTGCCCAAGTTCTTTGATAACAGTTGATTTTGGTACTTAAATGGACAACCATGATAGGACTGAACTAACTCCATTTCATGTGATTAATTGAAGCATCTTTTTGATTATAAGTATTCAACAGTTAAGATACATATTTTCAAGATTAAAGGTGAACAAACACACATGAACAGACAAATGCTTACATTCAATATTAAATATTATTATTAAAAAATTAAAGAAACTATCTAGCAAAAATGAAACTTGAAGAGCAAACATGCACTCAATATTTAATTTTATGAAGTTCATTTCAAAAGAGTTATCTAAAAGTAATTCTCTCTTATTCTAAGCTAATTTTTATTGTATTCATTTTTGTCCACTATTTACAGTCCTGAGTGAAAAATTCAAAACTTACTTTTTTACGTAATTTTTCTGCAGCATCTAGTTCAGCTTTAATGGTCTTATCAAACTTGTTCAAGAGCTTTGGCTTCTTCTTCTTTTTAGCTGGAGAGATTTAAAAAACACATAGTTCATTACTGCTTTCATATTTCACAGCAATTGATTGGAGCAACCTTTAAAGACAATACTGTACCGAAAAAGTGCATTATTTTCAAATAAGGCAGTTTCAAAATACACTCAAGAGAAATCGGTTTCTTCCTTATTACAATCACAAACTTCTAAGAAAAAGCAATCTTCAGTCATTCAAACAAAATAACTCTGAGTCAAATTTTTGATAAAGTATTTTTCACCTCATAGTCAAGAGGTTTTTTTCCAAATGGTTCAGTTGACGTGGAAGAACAGAGAGAACTGTTATTTTTCCACATTTATATGGTATTATGAAAAATATCATTACCAGAACATGTTAATAATTTCTAAGGTACCTACATACGTCTACTTCTTCATCAAAAACACATTTTAAAAGTTGATAGAAATCATAGTTAGTCAGGGTAGGAGAGACTCAAAAAGTCGTGTCGTCAAACTTCTTGCTAAAAATGGGTTCAACACCAAAATGTCTGATCAAGACCTCTTTAAGTGATCAAGTTTTCACAGCTGAGCAAGCTATCACATGACAGCAGAGCAGCAGCACTATGTAGCAAACTGGTCTTGAAGTAAATTGTGTAAAGTAAATTGCATCTGAAGCACATTGAAGTAGATTGTGTCAATTTAAATATCTATTTATTTCATAGCAGTTCACTCTTAAACAATGTCTATTTGGCTGCATTAAATATACTAGATGTTAGAAAAATGCAAATACACTACTGAAGGATACGACAGCTGATAACTGCTTTTCTCCACATTTGCAGCAGCTAAACTTTGGTTTTGCAATTGAATTAAAAAAAAAACCAACAAACTTACCTGACACAAAGGGAAATATATATTGGCTGATATACACAACTAGTAGTTTTGTATCTGTAATTAGCAGCACATATTTTTGCTTTAATTATGCATTATGGGTTTTTTTCCCCTCTATGGACAGTAAGTCATTGATAGCATGAAAAGTAGTAAAATCGTTCTTTTCCTTGTAGAAGTTTAAAAAGGGAATGTCATAATCGGTATGCATAAAGTTAAACTCAAACACTATACAGATTACCATCACAAGATTTCTGCAATGCTGTTGCAAGTATTTTGGGTAACTGTTACAAGGTATTTTTACTAATCATGGTTTATTATGCTTCCCAAGTCCTTGGGTGCACTGTTTAGGGATGACAAGAGCCAGCACATGCTACTGGAAGCTGTGCTCATGATTCATTAAATGATTCTTTCTTTCTGAGACTCTGATCCTGCACAGAGCTTTAGGCAGACAAATCACTTCATCTGCAATAAACCACAGAGAAAGACAAACACCTTAGTTACTGTGTCCAGCTCTGGGGCCTGCAACATAAGAAGGATGTGGACCTGCTGGAGCAAGTCCAGAGGAGGGCCATGAAGATGATTAGAAGGCTGGAGCACCTCTCCTGTGAAGACAAGCTGAGTTGGGGTTGTTCAGTCTGGAGATGAGGGTGGATGCCCCCTCCCTGGAAATGTTCAAGGCCAGGCTGGACAGGGCTTTGGGCAACCTCGTCTCGTGGGAGGTGTCCCTGCTCATGGCAGGGGGGTCGGACTGGGTGATCTTTAAGGTCCCTTCCAACCCAAACCATTCTATGAAAATGCTAAACTAATACTAAACCCATCTAAGCATTAAAGGATCTCATGAGTCTGAACTGCTTCTGTACGAGATAAAAAAAATCCAGCAAACATTGACAACCTTTGATTCTTTCCATGTAAGTCTTGTACTGTCATGTTCAACACTGAATTCAGCTCTACAAGTGAAGAGTTGTTCTTATATTGCTTTCCAGGGGCAAGGGGGAATAGAATTTAAGCAGGATTGAAGATATCAATCCATTTATTCAATTTATTTTTCACAAAGGTCTTATGAAGCTTTAAATATAAAAATGTATTAAGATCTATAGAGGAAAAGTACTAAAGAAGCAGTGCATTAGGATTATTATATCCTTGTTGATCCTTCTTATAATAGAAATGACTGTAATTTTTCAAGGCATTAGGTACCAAGAAGGTAAGAAGGAAAAAAACTGTCTGACATACAGGAGTTTACTCCTTTTTCAGGATAAACCACCAAATAACATACTTTCATGTATCGGTTTTGGTCCCCTAAACACTTCAGAGTTTCATTGCATCCTATGACTTGAAATCAAGAATTTATACTCAAGCACACAATAATGCGTTTAAGGAATGTAGTTATCATTAAACTGTACTGACCAAAGAGATGCTTTGCCTTTTTTAAAAAATATAATGATACAGATTATTTACTTGTATTTTGATCATTCCCCATAGATTATAGAATAGAAATGCATTTCAGGCTGTGGCCAACTCCAGACGTGCTATGATTTACTTAAATATTAATTTCATAGGAAATGGATGTCTCCACTGCATTTTCTTATAGTTAATTATGATAATGACTAAGCAGCACAGCACTGGCTCTGTTCCAAGTGATCATACCCCTTGTATCCAGCAGAACCCACAACAACAGCTCTTATCACAAAAGCAAGGATCCCTCCACACTCAAGACCTTGAGTTCACAGTCACTAGCAGGTATGGTCAGAAGTTTCTGACATAAAGTCACTGGGCCTGAAAAGAACAATCTGCAACATGCAAACAGTTTGCTGGGTTTTGTGTTTTTTTTTTAAATTTTGCTGTTGTTGTTAGTTTTGTTTCTTTCTTTCTTTTCTAAAACAATGCCAGCTCAGTTTTTCAAGAAACCATCACTATTTCTAAGTCCTGGCTTGTTCGTCAGTAGGTGTGGATGAACCCAGAAGCATCAGCCCAAGGAGCCAATCAAGCAACCTTGAGGACTTTTTAGGTTGGTTGAGCTCACAGCTGTTTCATGAAACTGTCATTCGTTTTTAGGTGGAAAACTGAGGCATTTCACAGTTCCTCTGGGCACATAATCTGGGAGCTCCCAGCTGGACATCACCACCAAACACTCGGTTTGTTCCTGCGCTCTCAGTAGGAGGCTGCACATACAAGAAATTAGGTAAACCACAACTGAAGTGCAATTGTCAGTTCCTGCCGTAGCATGAATCAAAATCTTTATCTAAGACTGGCCAGTTACACAGAAACTGTGTATTCAGCAAGAGAGGACAGCTATTTGCCAGTTTTCTAACTTCCAATATTCACAGAAAGACATACAGTCATTTGGTCCTTCTTAAATTCAGCGCAGTTCCTTCAAGGCAATGGAAAGAAGCTTTCTCATCCAGCGTAACTGAAACGCTTACTGCTTGCATGTCAGTGTTTCCCTAGTGCCTTTGAGTGTACCAGGAGATGGGACAGAAATCTCAGGTGAAAAAGTGAATTAAAATCTTACAAGTCTGTGGCACAAAGATTAAAGGCATCTTTCCTCTTATATCTGACTTTGGTGATGTGTTGGAAGAACCTTTTTGCCACTCTCCATTACAAAAAAGTATTATCCTCCCCTTTTCAGTACAAATATATATCAGCTCTAGACCAGCAGGAGATCAATATGAAAAGTTGGAAAGAAGCCGTTAACATAAATATTATTCAGCTGCTAGGCACCAATATAACACAGTAAACATTATATAATGAGCAATCATTTTTATATCCCATCCGACTCCTATGCTAAAGGATTCACCAGGGAGCTTTCAGTGTAACCATCAAGCATTCCTCTATATTAACCAGATAGCCTGCTATTTCCCTGCAGGGGTATTTTAATAAATTATCCATTGCCTCCTTCTAGTGTAATAATCTTTTAGCAGATGTGACCCAATATATTTAATTCAATGTTACAAAGAACTTAACTTCTCTGTTTTCAGAGAGGAAAAAAATATGTAATTTCTTTTCAGTGACTTACAGATTTCACCATGTAGCTGAAGTAATGCATGGTCACACAACTGCTACGGTGATTTGTAGTCCAAATCTGGTTGAGCATTAAAATGGCAATAATTCTTCTGTATATCATAGTATGGTCTTGCAAGGAGAATACCGAGGATTTTCAGTAACAGCCTTGTATGTAAGGATAGCCTTTCTATCTAGGATTGCTGAAGACTGCCTCAGAGAAAACAGTTTCCACTATCAAAGCAGCAAGCTAGGATGAAGTGTTGTAAGAGACTCCATGCTAGCCCTTTCTATTGGAGACTAAACAATGGTCCTGTATAACTAAGCAGAACACAAGGCCCGATATTGGTGTAACATGCCAAGTAAGTGAATTATGTTTATGCCATAAGTGCATCTGAACCAATTACACGAAGTAACAAGGAAAAAAAAACATATGGGAAAAAAGAGAGTGATGACTAGTATATAGCAAAAAATGTAATCTTTTTAATAAGTCCAAAGCAATACAGAACAAACTGTTAAAAATATTATATCAGAAATAGGTAGTAATAATACTTCTGTAATGGAGTAAATGAATCATCTTTAGCCTCCACAGAAGGAAAAAAAAAACCAAAAACAAACAAAACCAAACCAAATGGTCAGCTCTTCATTTCACATTTTCATCCGAAAATCAAAACAATCAGCAAGGCTAAGGAAACCTCATTCTCCTAAAACAGCGAACATGGCTGACATGACTGGTTGGACATCAGCCTGATATCTTAAAGCAGTTAATACTTCATTAGCCAGAATTGGACAAAAGCCCCATAATTTAAAAAAAATCTGGATTATCTTTCATGGCTAATACACTTTTTTTATTCTAAAGATACAACATGCACTTGGCATTTTAACAGATGGCAAGTTACTTTTAAGTGGGTCTCTGATACTGTCTACACTGACAACTAGACTTCAACTACACTAGACTTCAACTAGTTGTTTGATCTGAAAAGATAATTTAAAGGATGGGGTACCTTTAGCACAACATACAGTGTGAATTGTTGACATACCCTGAGCCTCTGATCAAAAGATACATGTACAGTTTTGTTCCTGAGCAAACTAAGTGGGAGATAACAACATGCTGCTATTAAAAATGCCAGAACAACTAGTATTTATCTCTAAAA